GCAGACTGTAGCCTGTATGGTGGTATATGCAGTAGTAGTGCTGTGGGGTTATGACTAGTGCAAAGTCTCCCTGTGGGAACCAAAATTGTTTGATGGGCTGTATTTCTAAATGACGATCTAGACCAGATCAGATGTCAAAATCAAAGCTCATTTTCCTGCTCAGCACAAAAATGACAAATATGAATCTCTGCATTGTGTGCAATGGCTCCGTAATTACATTTGTAAGACAAACTAATTGGGGAATAATTATGATCCATCTTGGCCTGTATAAACTCTTAAAAATCAAAATTTAATCTGCCTGAATATGAATTTCTCCCTTGACAAAGAAGCCCGTGTCAGACAGCGATTGTTGACAAAGGGACAGTGTGTGGCTGAGCAGGTTGGCACACTGTCTCTGTGGCCGGAAGGGTATTGGCTCAAATCCCAGAGCTGGCAGAGTGATTTCACTACTGGGTGCTTGTGCAAGGCGCTTAATCCCCATTTGCTCCAGGAACCGTCTGACCCTGCTTTCTCAAAAATGTATGTCACTTTGGATAAAAGTGTCTCTTAAATTGGTTTAAATATAAAAGCAAGCAGTGCCTTAGTTTGTCATGGATTAGCAACAGGTTGCATCATGTCTTTTCATTTGTTATGCACAGGCTTTCTCTGGCACAGAGAAATCTTCAGGATAAACTAGTTGAATCTAGGAAAACCTCATTAAACCACAATGAACAGGTTATCTTCTCTTGGTCATGCTTAGCTACAAAGGCTTGGGTCTCCATTATCCTCCTGTTCTGAGAATGGCTGTTAAGCACACGAATGCACTGTTCCACTGCATTCCACATTGTCTGTATTCATTACTTTGAAGGCATATTGAAGGCTTCATGTTCTGGAATAGTGTTTCCCAATCCATTTCTCATATAGACCCATGGTCGGTCCATGTTTTTGCTCCCTCCCAGCTCCTGGTAGGAAGCAAAAACGTGGACTGTCTGTGGGTGCCCAAGAACAGGACTGGGAAACACTGTTGCACGATGTGACTCAGGCTCCCTGCAAAGGCTCGTCCTAAATGTCTGTAAATGTAAATGTAATGTCTGGCGGTAACATTTTCTCAGAATGTTTGTTAGTCGAGCGTCCCTTACATCAGGAAACGCGACATCCTGGTATTGTTAGCCGCTCGCTTACTAATGCTGCGCATCTCATGCTCTCTCACCCTTCTTAGAATAACACCTGGCAGGGGGACAACAGGAAGTTGCTTCAACTAACAGTTAAAGAGAAATGTCCAGCAGTTCCCGCTCATGCTTGGTGCAAAGGGTGGAGCTAGAGTGACTCTTGAGACCAATCCCATGGTCCGATCAGTCATTGGTACAGAAAGCTCTGGGCTGTGGCTCTTCCTGTTTACTGATTTGCTGTCTCCTATACAGGCCTGAGTGACAGCCCAGTGCCATGGTGGTGTGAGGCTGGGATGTACTACTGAAGCAGAACATTCAGCCTGCAGACTCAAAGCTACTACACTGATACACCAGATGGCAAACTGCAAGTTGTAAAAGCTCCTTAAGCAGAGCTTAGTAAACATAAGCTATGAGCATATAAATCCATAAAGTAAAGATATTGCCTGCAATTCCCTCTTGAAATACTACAAGAAACCTCCAGTACACTATAGGTCATTTCAGATAGGGACTACTTGTCAATGGTATGGGTGAATCCAGGCCTCCTATTTAAGAGAAGTTTGTTCTGCATCTCGTTGCTGTTGTGTTGTTAGGACTAATAACTAAGTGCAACTGACCCAGCTGCATGGAGAAAGGGGATCGGGGGTTCAATTATAGTCACAGACGGGGCCACGTTGTTTCCTGTCAAAGGCCCAGACTCACTGTCAGCAGGGCCTGTCGCAGCCCCCACTTTAGAGCTGGCGTCAGGCCCTGACACAGGCTGGGAGAGATATACAGTATGTCTTGCATACAAATACCGGTGGCAGTCAGGAACAGGAAGAGAAACAGCTTCTACCCCAGAGTTGTGTCCATGCCAGACTGCACCTGCCATCTCCGCCCCCCCCTTTAACACTGAATGCTGCTGGATTGACTGACCTTTTTATTTTGCACTATTATTGCATTTAGCATCAGCAGTGCAATATTGATGACTGAATGCAATACACACACATCATATAGATATTAAGTATTTTTTGAGTATTACTTTATACTGTTTGGATGTTGTGTCATGCATGTAAATTTTGTATGTATGTAAATTTTATTTAAGTTATTCATGTTACAGAAACTACTGTACTTCCATTGTACTTGTGTATTAACCCACTTGCACGATGACAAATAAAACCCCCTAATCCTAGGTTTACCAGTAGGATGGACATTCATTCACAGTGCTGCTGTAATATGACTCCATAGTGGGAAAACGGCATTAGGACACCTTGATGTTATAAAACAAATATTTGTTTAGTGTTCTGCCATAGTGGGGTGTTTCACAGAATCATTATCACCCAGCTGAAAAGGGGGACTTCACTGTACCTTGTTGTCTGCTTAAAGGAGGAGGATGATTAGAATCCTCATATCTGTGCCCATACCTACCAGGACAATGAGGTCAAGTCCTCAGTATTTTTCTGCAACTCCGATATGGGGAACACCTACGATGGGCTAACACTTTTGACCTCAGTATTTCAAAAATCGTGGCTACAGCACCATTCCCATCTGATGAGGCTCTTTACTAATGCCAGATATGTCGAATGGGAATAGTCTTTCAGGTTGTCTCTCGCACCTCTCTCCAGTCCTGTCCAAGGAAGCATGCTAAATACATAGAAAGAATCACCCAGCACTTCCAGTTCTTGCACCAAGATCCCTAGAGATGCCAAGAAGATAAGTTGCATCACTGTAGTTCCAAACCTCCAAGCTTGTATTTAGCTGAGCTCATCCAGTCAAAAACTGAGATTGCCGTCTGCCAACTGGGCTCCAGGAAGCACGGGGCTGAAGATTCCAGTCTAAACACGATTGTGGCAGACACAAGCCCTTTCATCTCATATCACACCATCTACACATATGGGTTTTAATTACTTTTTCAGTTTTGGCAGAAGCTACGTCTTTCTGGTTTGCGTGCCTGCTACTTTGTTGAGGCAGTTCAGTTAAAGGTCTAGTTTAAGGGTCAAACTTCAGTTAAGAGCCAGATCCAGCATCCATACATCAATTCTAGCAAGACAGCCACACACAATGGGTTAATCCTCCTTAGCCTGTAGTAATTTGAGTATGACTGCTGTTTTGAAATGGACCTAATTCACTTAGATAAAATATTAAACAAAACCTAATTGAGATTCCATAAGTACATCAGACTACTTAAGTGAAACATCAATGCATGACCTTGGTTGTGAAGCACATAGATCCATTGCATTGATGCTAGACCTCCAAGAAATCCAATTTGCCAATGAACTCAATGGCATTTTCGTAATGGGATACACAAGCACCAAAGCACTTTGCGTTGCACAGAATTTATCTAATTTCTACTAACTGAGTATGTACAGTAATCCCAGATGAACAGGTCACTGTGCAGCCAGTGAGTGGATGTCTTGTGTGTTTACACCGTGTACCAGAGGGACATAAAGTAAGCAATGTCTTAACTGGCCTCAGTTCAGAAACAAGTGGGGAAAATGTGTTAAGGAGGCTCAAACTCCCAAGAGGGAAATCTAATTATCAAGTCAATGAAAAATCATAGGCCATAAAGATGCTGTTCATATATTCAGGTTTGTTTCAGGGCTTCTGACTTTTGTCATCTTCTGTACACAGTAAAACAATTGAAGTCGATAACACAGGTAGGAATATTTTCACTTATGGGTTGGTTCCCACTTGCGCCCATTGTTCCCGGGAATAGGCTCCAGTACCCCCCATGACCCCAGTTGGGATTCAGCGGTTTCAGAAAATGGATGAATGGACGGACGGATGATTTCATCAAAAGGAGTATTATCCATTCATATAGGTTAATATCTTTTGGATTACAAGTCCAAGTCTTTAACTGATGTGCTTCTGGTAGACACTGTTCATATTCATATTTTTGCAAAGCATCACTGAGATATATAAAAACAGTGTTTAGGCTTCATGGTCAGAAAATGGTTTCAGGAAGGCCACATATAGTTTGTGTCCCCAGAATCACTAACCACTCCAGAGGATGCCCCCCCCCCCCCACCACCACCTAACCCCTGCAGAGGAACTCGGTCTGCTTCTCAGTAGCTCTGACTCACCAGGCGTCTAGCAAAGAGGAAGTATTGCATCAGGCGCCTGGCCAGAGAGAGCTGTAACTGCAACTCCAAATAAACGCAGCCTGCTGAGCAACTGTGGGCCCATGGACTCCACCCCTTCTCCCAGGACACCCAGCTTTTCATCAGAATTATGACAAATAAAGAACTATGTGTGTGTGTGTATATATGCACAAACACACACACACATACAGGGTGCATGAAATATATATGTATAATGTATAGATTTGATTATCTTTCCCAATAATATTTCAAAAGACAACATAAAACAAGGACAGACTAAGTAAAGGATGTTTTTGACCAGTATTCAAAAAATAATTTTTTTAAATTATGGGTCAAAAAGACCCAGTATGATCAATAATAATAATTATTATTGCTACTTTATTGATCCCTGTGTGGAAACTGTCTTTACACCTCCCTCATTGTCCCTCCATGAAGGGAGCTGGGGGCCTTGCAGAGGCTGGGTTTGAACTGGCAACCATCTGATTACAGGCAACCTTCTGATTATGGGCACACAGGCTTAGCCCACTGAGCCACCTGCTGCCCCCAATTAAGGGCTAACCCCTACCCAGCCCTAACCTTAACCATCATGTAACCAAAAGACTTTTGACATTTTTAGTTTTTTTTTTTTTGATTGCAGTCACATATTTCTATAAAGCTGAATTTCACTTGGTGGGGGATCAGAAAAATGATCCCTATGACATCAAAATAGCATTTGTGTTCTTTGAAAAGTGCTGAAGACAAGCTTAATCATGAAATAAAAGACAACACACTGGAGTCGATCTGTAATGGCTTCGTTTTTATTTAGCTTTGGGGTATTTGGCCTACAGCACTTAATAGCGGTGGTTTTGGTCAATGGCTCATAACACCATGATCTGTGGCTTAGGACAGAATGCTGGGAAATTTGTGGTCACATGGAGCACAGGGGCCTGTTTGGGGAACTGCTCTGGGCAAAGCAACAGGCAGAAAGCAGAGATTAGCAGGTGGCGAAGGGCGCCAAAAGCACAACCCCCTCTACTGCTGCGATCAAACTGCAGAAGTCTTGGGAAATGCTATTTACACGTGGAAATTTCAGTTGTCAACAGTCCCAGGGACCCAAGTAACACATGCTGATAGTTTAAGTATCAGTAATACTTTGTCACATAGTCAAAAAAAAAATGTTAAAAAAAAAACATGCATTTTCTCATCTGGGAGGATCACTGTTGAATGAAGTCTTGTAATCTGGTGAATCCAAGCGAAGTTAGACGAAAGACTAGAATATCTTGCAGGTCATATCGTTAGAACTGCTACATATTCCACCACACTGGGTTAACCAACCCCCTAAAACTAAAAGGATTTAGGTTAGGAAGAACTTACGTTCTCCAACCATATACCCTTACGTCTTATGAGTTACCCGTATAAAACACTCCATATTTTAAATATATTCATCTTCTAATTCACAGCACACAGGCAGATACATGAAGAACACTTGGTACCTGCCTCTCAGCCTCTGCGCCTGAACAGAGAACCGCGAGAACCCTGAGAGTCCCAGGACCCCCAGCACGTCTGTTACATGCAACTCATTTAAACAAAAGATGACCATCTGCATTGTTTATAGAACTACCATCCAGAACTGCCAACACTTCAGCCTTCCAAGTAAACCCTTTCGCAGTTACATTATCGTGGGTGTGAATGGGTGGCCAGGGCATGTTCTAACATCCATACTGCAACAGGCACTCCTGAATATGAAGGAGTACTGAAAACACTATGGATCTACAAGCATCTGTCCAAGTCTTGGCAATCTAGACACGACAGTTTTGTATTAACCCATCAATCCACTTCCTGTGGTTCACTTGCAGCTTCATCACATCATGTCAGAGTGTCACTGTATATCAGGGGAGGTGGGATGCACTGCCTCACTGTAGGGCCATCAGATATCCAGACAGGGGTCAGTGGTAGTTGTCATGCCTCTATGTGCTTGACCACAGCATTGGTCCTCCATGTAAACTGTTGGCTGGTTCTCCAGGAACTGAATTTAAAGGGGAAAGAAAAGAAGCTTCCAGTAGGTAGATGTTGTGCGGATAAAACAAAACAAGGAGAGAAGACAGGAATGGACAAAGAGCTCTACTCTTCCACCAGTTCAGGGCACGTGAATGAGAAGTTCCGGAACTCGTCCTGGTTGACAGAGGAAATGACTGGATCATCAATGGGTGTGAGGGTGGGCTCCTCGCGTGTGAAGTCTGGGTCAAAGTTGTTCACGTCCTCTGCCGTTTTCTAGAAGAAACACAGAGAATAATGGAGTAAAGAAAAGATCTTCAAAACAAAACAAAAAAAATGGCCGCTGATAGTCACATGACTCACAATTCTAGGTCTGAAAGGTGGCTCCACCTCCCGGTTGTTCAGCTTGTCCCACTCAATGGTGGTGAAGAACGCATGGCTGGTGATGGCCATCTCACTGCCATCTGCCTCCACACAGCCCAGCCGTCGTGCCGGATTCTTGGTCAAGAACTGATGGTATGAACGGGGAGGTCAATCAGGCAGCACTTACTGAGATCCACACCCTGCACTGCTCTCAGGGTGCTTTATAGAATTAAGCTACATCTGCCATGTACTCCTCTTCCACAAACCATTACAACCGCAGTAAGTCCAAGAATGGCTCCTGCAGCACTGTACTTCAACATTAATCTGATGCCATTCTGGGAGCCCTTACTCCCCCAGTTTGCAGCACCATCAGACAGTGGGAAGTAGCAGTGCCTGGGCTATTGATCAAGATGCAGTGACTATCCATTAAGGCTTCGGCGGTAACCATTTTTTCCCCCATACAGTCATACGTTCTAGACCAATGTTTCCCAATCTGGTCATCAGAGACCCACAGCCAGTACACATTTTTGCTCCCTCCCAGCTCCCTGCCAGACAGGCCACTTTTTTACTCTCTCTCAAAAGCTCAGAGGGAGCAAAAATGTGGACTGTATGTGGGTCCCTGAGGACTGGATTGGGAAACACCATGTTAGATGTTTCACCTCGGTATACAGTATATGGTGACTTCTAAAAACAAACATAAATAAAATTTTAAATAAAAATAATAATAATGATAAAATCTGCATGACTGAGAAAGCCTAAACTGGCTCATCAGTGTGGAAAGTGAGTGCTAGGGGAACCAGGAGACCTTGTGGAAGAGTTAAAAAGACCACCCTTCTGTCATTGCCTAATCTGTAGCACCTGCCTGATTTGCGGCTGCCTGCATACTAGGTTTCAGGTATGCAATGCATGCACCAACAGATTACCGCTCATTTTCGGGGCATTTTGGTTTGTGGCATTAACCTCTGTGTGTGTGTTATACCGGTTCTGTACGGACCAGGAGGTCGCTGCGTCACAGTATATTTGTAACAAATGCAAACTAAAGCCTATCTCTGCTTCCTTAAAAAAAATAACCTACCAGGATACTCTGTACTAGTGCTGTAGGGTGAAAATCACAGAGCACATTAAGTTATGACTTGACATTCAGATATAAATGACAACATGTTCTTTAGTCTGCTTGTTAACTTCACTACTGCTTGGACGTGCACCAAATACCTCACTTTTGACATCTGGCACAAAAGCAGATATGTGTTTGTGTTAGTAACTGAATAACTGTCAGCCCTCCTAAGGTGAGAATGACTTTACTAGTAGAGGTTGTTTGTGACGCCTTGCCTTCTCAGTATGACAGCGCAACCGTGGTCCATTGCTGTAGGAAGCATGAGGAAAAAAGGCCAGTACGTTGCACAATGGTCAGAGATGACACAAGCAACTGAACTATCGTGTCCTATCGTGCACTTTGGAGAATCTCCAGGTAGTCTAGTGGGCTTCAATGTTAAATACTGAGCTCTTACACCTATGAAATACTGAGAAAAATGAATGACACACATAAAAATAAAGTCTCACAGCCCAAGTAAGTCCCCTAAAGGTTGTAACCCAGGCGATCATCATGCTGCAGAAAATTGCAATAGTACAATACTAGCCGTATACTGGTGCACAGCTGCCAATCCACATTTCCAGTTAAGTGCATCCACGAGCCCTGTTACATAACAGCCCATAATGCTGCAAACAAGTCAACAGTAGGAAATGGGACCCTGCTCTTTCAGTTGCCATGGAACAAGGGATTGCTTCTATTTATATCACAGGCAGAAGCAGTGAACCTTGCCTTAATATAGTCATGCAGGGGCCCAAAGGACAGCCCAGTAGCAGAAATGCCTTGAAGTGTTAACTGCATGGTCCCACTAACCATCAGAATACAACTTTAATGAGGAGCAGGGCATCTGTTGACCAAACGGCCGCATTAAAGGCACCTGATGAGCGTTGACATCAGAGCCTCCCACAACACAAGGGAACAAAGGCGCTATCTTGAAGGGAAACGGGGATGACTCACTGCTTTGAGGATGCTCACGGCATCGGCGCTCAGCCAGGACGCGTAGACGATCTCCTCGTTGAGAATTGACTCGAAGAGGTCGTCTTCGTTCTCCGCCTCAAAGGGGGCGTGGCCGGAAAGCATCTCGTACAGCAGCACGCCCAGCGCCCACCAATCCACTGACGGTCCATACAGCATCTCCTGGAGGATCTGAGGAGGAGGAGGAATGGAATGTGTTTAGCATAGGAGTCTGGAGGGGTCTGCAAGGATATGGTAACTAGTGAGAGTCGGAGGAAGTCTACCTCAGGAGCGATATAATCGGGGGTCCCACAGAAGGTCCCAGTGGCCATGCCGTCAAACATGCCCTCCTTACACATGCCAAAATCGGCCAGCTTGCAGTGGCCATCCTGGTCCAACAGCACATTGTCCAACTTTAGGTCCCTAGAATGCAAACCACACGGACTAATTAGATCCGATATCAGGAAAGGATTACACAGATAGAGCCACCAAGAGAGAATTCCATCAGCTTATTAGTGACTGGGTTGCCAGCTCTTCAGGGTGAATTCTGTCACACACATCCAACCCTCCTTTCAAAGCTCCTGATCGCTACACTAACAGACAATAGAGACACTGGCCCATCTCCTACAGCAGCGTTTCACAACGCGGTCCTCGCAAACTTCCACACAGCCCACGTGTATGCTCCCTCAGATATGTGGGCCGTCTGGCAGGGAGCTGGGATGAAGCAAAAATGTGGACCATCTGGGGTCTCCAAGGACCGGGTCAAGAAACACTGACCTAAAGGAACCCACGGTTTTGGAGCATCAGCAGAGCCCGGCAAAATAAGCCCCTAAGATGGTAAAACCCACAGCGTCCATTCCGATTGAGTCACCAACTGCGTTAATCCAGCCAGCTTCAGATGAATACATGCGTTTCCATGAGATAGACCATCATTAAGGTGCCTTTATCACTGCATCCTATAACTTCAAATGATGTGTGTGGTTCCAAAAATACCTTAACCACCAATGCCAGTAAACGAGGCAGCATGTGCCTCAATGGAGAGGCAGTCATTTTAAATGTCATCCCTGCACTGGATAATGACAGAGTGCAAGACACCACATGCAGGAAACCGTTTGTGTGTGATGACAGAATGCTTACTGTCAGGACAAGATAAATGCGGCTATTGTGAGTGGCAGTAATGCAGCGCTTTGCTCAGGCTGGCCACCTCGGGATGACTGACTTGCGGCCAGAACACTTGAAGACGGTTACAGACCGGAGTGGCCACAGAACACCACAGTCTCCCCTGGCAGGGTCAGAATGACAGATGGGAAGCAGGAAAATGAGTCCTCACATTTTGTCACCAACAAAACAGGGCCAGAAGTGGGGGGGGGGGGGGGTGGAGGGTGGCAGAAGCACATCAATATTTACCCACCAGGTAGGAGACAAATATAATTCTCAGCCGGCTTTAATGACGAATACTTAACAAATGTAGCCTATGCCAGCAAACAGAAAAATCACCCATTTTTAGGCAGTGACACACACACACACACGCACACACACACACACACACACACAGTAATGGAAAACTACAAGACATGCAATTCCTATTCCTGTGAGCAACAAAGTACTTCACACTAAATGAATCACCAGTGCACAGCACTACACACCAACACACGCAAACACTGCACAGCTTACGTCAGTCCGGATCACAAAAACACACAAAAAGTACTAATGTGCGATTAGAGAGGCTTAATAGTAGCATTGATCACCCTGAGCCAGTATTTTCAAATCCGGTCCTCGGAGACCCACATTTGGTCCGGGATTTTGCTCCCTCCAACCCCGTGGGTCCCCGAGGACCGCGATTGGGGAAACACTGCACTAAGCTGTGAAAGTCACTGGATGGGGGAAGAGGGTGGCTGCGGTACACAGGTGCTGGCTGTAAGGGGAGACTGGGCTGGACAGGACAGAGGGCCTGCTGTCACCCTGCAGGCCCACAGCCCGGCCGGCAGTTTGCTTTGGCAGTTCCGCAGTGTGGAACTGCCCGTTCTTCGCAGCCCCTTCCCGGCAGTACAGGGCAACGGGAGAGGGCATCTGGGGTAAGAGCGGAGTGGGTGCGGTTGGAGACTAAGCATCCCTGTCCCAAGCTCACACATCCTAAACCAGCCTCCGCTGACTCAAGACCCAGGCGTGGCACCTGACAGCCAGCTGTGGCCAATCACCTCGGCCAGGCTGCAGTCGGATGATGCGATTCCCATGCAGGCCATTTGCATGCAGGGGGTGCAGCTGATACCGGTACAACGGCCTCGCTCTCTGAGGTTAAGGCCTGACAATAAGACCATTCTCCTCGTCCAATAGGAGATATGAGTATTATTCACAAGGCTGAATAACCCCCATAAAAGCAGACAATAACTGGTGTATTATTTATGGGAAAGCTTGCAGTGCACAAGCAAGGAACTGCCATATTGCAAAACTGCCATTTCAGACTCAATATTACCTGTGCATTTTTATTGCATGAATGCAGGATTAATAATAATAATAATAATAATACATTTATACAGCGCTCAAAGACATTTATAATAACCTCATTGGAATATGGTTTGAAATACGAGTCAGAAAATACAGTATTGCCTTTCAAGGTAATGAAAATCTGGCCGTAGGCTATGCTGCTTGGGATTCGTATACATAATTCTATCATTTTTTCCTGGTCTGATTTTTGCTGAACGTTGCTTTCTACTGCCTGTGGACTGAATTGGTCGTCGGTTAAAAGCAGGGAGGGCCAACTCTGCTGTTGAACATGTTCAGACTCATTATCGTATGAGAAAAAGCTTCTAGTGTGGCGGCTGTGTGACGGCTGATGACAGAACAGAACCACCCGACCTGGCTGTGTACACAGTGGGTAAACTCCTCATCCGTTTGCATTCAATTAACACTTGACTGGGGACCCCTGCCGTTATGACACTGTAGCCATCATAAACAGCAACAAGGGCAGCCGGATAAGGGGCATCTTACCTGGTGGGGCATGAGGAACCTGCATATAACAATTCAGAATTGAGACAATTGTATCTGTATGATTGGTTTTCCATTGGTAATTTGCACATCACGTCAATGATATGTCACCGTGTGGGTTAATTAACCTTGTCGGAGGCAGGTGACCACTCAGAAGTGCGAGATAGGGAGGTGACAGTGCTGGCGTGAGCTCAGGTCACCCCAATGGAAGCTCGAGGTAGGGGGAGCGAGGGAGAATAAAATATCGCACCTTTGCACACGTCAAACTTTGTACAGTACTAACGCATGTAGTATTTCGATACCCAAACGGGGGAATAGTATGGGCAAAGATCATTATCATTTCTTCCTGGTTGTGAACAGAACGAGAGCTTTGGTGGGGAAGTTGTACAGGACCCCAAAATCGCAGCTAAGATCAAAGCATTCCTTGAGCGTCTCACATGAAAGCGGATAGCAGGAAAGGTGAAGAATCATTGTTAATAAGTTCATTTTTTTTATTATATAAAAAAAAAAAACTAGATGCCTCCGAGGATAATGTTATTTGTGTTAATTGTCTTATTTTATTGGAAGCGGTTACCTTAAAACATGGATCGTTCCACTGAGTGCACTCTCAGAGGTTGTCAAGCTTCTGGTTTTTGATTTAGATTGTCCTTTCGTTTTGAGAGTAATGTCATGAACTGAGAGGTAAAAAGGGTCAGTTGGGGGACATAGTGAAACGCTTTAGTGTCACAGCTGCTTAATTTTACCCACGGAACACAGATATAGGCATTATTTGTTTTTATTATAACCCGTCTTTATTTGGAGAGTTCTATCAAAATTCTATACTGGAATACTTGTAGTTGTACATTTGCAGACAGTGAAGGAAGTCCTGTATTTGCATTTCATTTTGAAAGCAGTGTTTTTTTATAAAAGGGTTTGTGATATCTGACATGTGGCTCTGACTTACAAATGAACGTTTTACCATTTCATAGAAAATACTGAGATATCCATCGTGCATCACTGGTTTTTGGTCTCTATTGGCCAACCCTACTGAACAGCTTTTATAGGGTTAGCTGGCTGTCACCCACAAGTCACAGCTTCCCTTGACACATGGAGCCAAAGCTGTTTAGAAACGTTCTGTTGAATCAGCGTCTGCTCCACACACCAGTCCTCTTAGGCAGGGCTTTATTTACCAATATACTCCAGTTCAGTGCTTTCCTGCTCACTGAAACCCCAAGCAACTTTGCCCTAGAAGCTTAACAAATCACTTCCTGTTTACTTTCATGTACTTCCTGCTAGCGAAAGCAGGACAGGAAGCTGACATACTCTGATTGTGCAGATAAAACAAAAATTTACACATATCTGCCATTTCCTCCTGCAGTAAACTGCGTGCACAAAGTCTGTTACGGTCGTATTCATTTCGACACCAATATATCAGTTTCAAAATGAAGGCAGCGCAAAAATGAACCACTATCAGAGTGCACACATTTCAAGGACATCGGAGTTATTGACGCTCTCCTTGAGGCTGGTACCAGCTCAGTGACGTCACAGAGATGATATTTTCATATTCCTGCCCCATCTCCCAGCTTGGATACAGAACAAGGGGAATTTAGAACACTCCCTGCTCCATTGAATTAATGTCAGATCCCCAGAAAGGGAGAGTTGATGAGAGGATCCAGCGTGCGTTCAGACGGCTTGCGTGTCACCTGGAACTCACCTGTAGATGATGCCCTTGGCGTGCAGGAACATGAGGGCAGAGGTGATCTCAGCCGCATAGAACCGTGCCCGCGCCTCTTCAAACTTCCGTGACTTCTGGATGTGGAACATGAGGTCACCCCCGTTGACGAACTCCATGACGAAGAAGAGACGTTCCTGAAATGCAAATGTGAAGAGTCTTGGCACCATACCAATGCAATGAGTGTTTGGTCTGAAACGATGCGAACCAGCCAGGCAGGTTACAGCAGGCGGTGACTACAGATACCCAGTAACCTCACCCACCTTTAGAAAGCTTTGAAATCAATTGAGACAGATGTTACTGAGCACTTTATGGAATTAAGTACTAAAAAGACAGTAGCTGAAGATTAAAAACAGTAGCTCGAGGACGAGAGAGGAATGGAGTCTTCTAGAAGGTGACGGGGTTGTAGAGAAACAACCGACAGCCATGGAGGTCTTGGATTGACCGTCACGTTTGATAGCATGTGAAAGATGGACATCCTGCAGAGTCCTTGGCAGCCAGACCCTAAATCACTGTCTTCATTACAGCTCTGTCAGGCGGAAACAGGACGTCCATGCAGCTTTTTTTATGGAAGCACGAGTATTACAGTGAACATTACCACATCTAGTGGACTGGCAAATGCCTTCCAAGCAAGAAAGCTCACACAGCTCAAGATTCAACCCTTATAACTTCATGATAGTGACCCAGAAAGTGTCTTTTTGGTCCAGCTTGTTAACTGCATTGTCCAGACAGTCTGTTCCATTGCACCTCATCCAAATGTCTCATTTTGCTTACATGTATATACTCTCCTTCTGGTTGGTTAGTGCGGTTCACAAAAAATAGCATAACACAGTATAACAACACAGAGCACTAACCCAGCGTTTCTCAACCTGGCGCTTGGGGGTCCCCAGACAGTACACATTTTTGCTCCGGGAGGAAGCTAGGAGGGAGCAAAAATGTGTACGGTCTGGGGACCCCCGAGCGCCAGGTTGAGAAACGCTGGGTTACTGCTCCGTGTCAGTACACCGTGTTGTGATATTTTTGTAATTTATTTTATGAGACCAGTTACACCAAACAAATTCCTCGTATGCATGGCGAATGAAGTTGATTCTGACTTTCAGCCCGGAGAGACACAGGGAGTTAGTGATTTTTCGGTTAGATGGAGACAGTGACACAAAGACCCTGGTTTAGAGATGCTTGTTCAGTCTCCTCTAACCCTATAATCATGGGCCATAGTGAAGGCAGTGGGGGACCTGAACTATCCACAGCTATCCTCCTGTAATGCACCCCTACCTAAGCCAGCAGTGGGTCAAGTTGGGGCTTCTGACTGGGGGTACAGGGGGGCTGTTTCAGTCACGCACAGGGGAGTAAGAGGGGCTGGGAATCGGAGGCATCGGCTGTACCTTAAGGCTCACACCGCCCGTACTGTACCTTAAGGCTCACACCGCCCGTACTGTACCTTAAGGCTCACACCGCCCGTACTGTACCTTAAGGCTCAAACCGCCCGTACTG